TGTGTGTGATGATTTTGGATGTTTGGAGTGCAAAAATATGAAGAAAAGGTGCTCCAGTTATAGGAGAAGAGGATGGATGCGCCACATCCAACTTAGAAAAAAAGTGTATTTGGTGCATCCTTGGCAGTGAAGTCGGGAGAAAGCATCCGCCTTAGCATCCGCACCTGGGCACATCAGGGATGAAGGAACAGAGGGATGACGCATCCACCCCAGTATGCGATACTGAGAAGTTAAAGCTGAGTCGGACACGAAGCATCTACCCCAGCATCAATCCCTGAAGCTGAGTCGGAATAGGAAAAGGAAACTTTGGCCCACGACCTTTGTATGCAATATATAAGCCAAAAATACCTCTTTTAGGTCATCTATTACACTTGGAAGCAAGGAAAAACCATCACATAGTTTGGAGATGGAATTCGTCTTGAGTTCTTTTTTTCCCCTTCTTTTATTGATTTTTATATATTCTTGGAAATTATTTGAGATTGCTACCATGACTATGTGTGGCTAAACTCGTTTATTCTGAGGTTATAGTTTTACATGAATGGTGATATTCGAATATTGATTTGACGAGTTAATTTATCATATTGAGTTGTTTATTCATATCTCAAGTTTAATTATTTTACTGCCTAGCTAACAGTGAAATACTATGTATGAATCTTGAGTTGAACTTGAAAGAGGTAATTCTTGATTGCAATAGGATTGAATAGAGCGCGATCTTGAGCCTAGTCATTGGGGAATTGATTTGCAAATACAGATAGAAATATACCTATTTGCCGTGCTTAGCCAATTGTGCAAGAGATTGTTAATGCATTATTTTTATCTCTAATCTCATAGGAATACAAGGTTTAGAATAAATTGAATAGGCGAATAGAAGTTGTCAAATTCCTACGATTATTATTGTCCTTGCAGGTTAATAACCCAGATAAATTAAGAAGTCGAGTTGATTGAAGAATTTGACAGGATTGTTATATAACCATGACCCTGAAATATTATTTCTCATTGAATTAAAATCCTTCGTGCTAAGTGTGCTAGTTCATTAGTTTTTCTTTTACTTGCAATTATAATTAGTAGAATTAATTAAACAAAAATAACCTTGAAATTGTTCTTGACTCGATAAATTAGAATTCACTTGATTTAGTTGATAATTAATCACAAGTTCTCATGAGAACGATACTCTACTCACTCTTAATTACTTGATTGACTGTACTTGCGTGTGCGATTTAGGGCAACAATATTCAACATAGTTGTGATTTCCACAGGGAGGGGGAGGAGATTTCTTTCGTTCTTGTAGCCACCAATTCTAGCCAGTTCCACATATATCATTTTTGTTCGGTAAGTTAGGCTTTTATGATGTGGATGCACGATTTTTTTAGCCTTTGTTATATATATGCTACAAGCTTTTCCTTGAAGATTGGTGGGTTTTTCTTTAGGATTGGTACCCTAATGACGTGTGATGACCCAAAATGTTATCTTTAAATTTAATAGGTAATTCTGTATTCTAAGACCTCAAAATTTACCATTTATTATTTTTCGATTTGCGTGCGCAGTCCGTACAATTTTTCGAAAAGCTTTTATGTGAAAAATATATTAAAATGTGAAATAGAGCTTTAAAAAAAAACTCAACTGAGTTGATTTTAGTCAACATTTTAAGTAAACGGACCCGGATCAGTATTTTGACAATTTCGATAGGTCCGTATCGTGATTTGGGACTTGGGCGTATACCCGGAATCGAATTCCGAGGTCCCTAGCTCGAGATATGGAATTTTGATGAAAAATTAAAAGCTTGAAAGCTTAATGATTTTCAAGAATTTAGTAATGTTGGATTTATTGATACCGGGTCCGTATTTTAGTTCCGGAGCCTGTTATAGGTCCACTATAATATTTATGACTTGTCTGCCGAATTTTGTGAGAAACAGAGTTGATTTGACGTGATTCGGACATCCGGTTGTAAAAATATAAGTTTTAAAGTTTTCTTGGAAATTTTCTTTGATTTGGCGTTCGATTCGTAGTTCTTGGTGTTATTTTGGCGAGTTGATCGCGCGAGCAAGTTCGTATGATGTTTTAGGACTTGGGTGCATGTCCGGTTTGGAGCCCCGAGGGCTCGGGTTAATTTCGGGTGGTTAACAGATCATTTTTGGACTCGGAAAAAACTGCAGAAATCTGCTTCTGGTATCCTTCTTCGCGTTCGCGAGAGGGGGCTCGCGTTCACGAAGAAGAAACTGGAGGCAAATGAAAATTATTCTTCGCGTTTGCAAAGAGAGGGCCGCGTTCGCGAAGGCTTGAGGTGCGAAGCTCCACGTTCGCGATCGAAGCCTCGCGTTCGCGAAGAGTAAAAATTAGACAACACAAATTTGTGCTTCGCGAACGCGAGGCACTGACCGCGTTCGCGAAGGGTAAAAATCCTAGAAACAGAACTTAAGTTCTAGAAATGGGGTTTCGACCCATTTTCAACTCTCTTCCATTTTTGAGCTCAGGTAAGGCGATTTTTGGGCGATTTTCACGGAAAAATATTGGGATAAGTGTTCCTTATCCTATATTGATTATATTTCATGATTTCATACTTATTTATATCACGAATCCGTGAATTTATGGAAGAAAAATCAGATTTTTATAAATTCTTCCAAAAATGAAAATTTAAGATTTGAAGGTCCATTTGACATCGGAATTGGATAATCTTTGTATGGGTGGACTCGTCTCGGAATGGGTGTTCGGATTTCGTAAGTTTTTCCGAGATTTGAGACGTGAGTCCCATTGCCGAATAGTTTAATGAATTTTAGATTTTTATCCGGAAAATTTGTAAATTCATATGGAATTAATTCCTATGATTCGTATTGAGTATATCGAATTATTTGTGAATAGATTTGAAACTTTTGGAGACAAATTTAAACGGAAAATCTGTTGTCGAGTAATTGATTGGAATTTGCAAAGCGAGGTAAGTGTCGTGGTTAACCTTGACTTGAGGGAATAGAACCCTTAGATTATTTGTTATGTGAATTGCGTGTGAACGACGTATAGGCGAGGTGACGAGTGTCTATACATCGTCAAATTAATTGTTTGCCTGCTTCCTTGAAAAATCGTAAATTATTTAAATCATGAATTAATTATTATAATAATTGTTTCTCTCCTATTCTTTGTCAAATATTAATTCTTGAATTCCTACATTAATTGTTATATGATATTTGAATTATGTGCGTTAATTATTATTTGACATTTAGTATATTAAATATTAAACTGCATATTTTCTCTCTGATTTCCATAATAATTTGCTATTTGCATTTGTTGTTTCATAATTAAATCATAATTATTGTATGCTTGTTGTCTTATAATTTTATATTAATTGTTGCATTTATTGGAGAAATTTCTTCTATAAGAATTGGTAAATCGATATGTTGGAGGATCGGGTTGCACGCCGTAACAGAATTAATTATAATGAATATACTGGAGGATCGGGTTGCACGCCGTAACAGAATTAATTATAATGAATATACTGGAGGATCGGGTTGCACGCCGCAACAGACTTATTAAAAGTCCATAATGGGGGATCAGGTTGCACGCCGCAACAGACTTGATTAAAATGAATATATTGGTGGAGCGGGTTGCACGCCGCAACAGACTTGATTAAAATGAATATATTGGTGGAGCGGGTTGCACGCCGCAACATAACCGAATGTGAATATATTGTGAAAGTGGGTTGCACGCTGCAACAAAATTGAATGTGAATATATTGTGAGAGCGGGTTGCACGCTGCAACAGAATTAATAGAAATGATAATTGGTTATGACTGCTGAGTTGGCTTCAATTATTATAAACGAGTTACCTGATTTATTTCTATTATTGTTGTTATTACTAATATTGCGTACAGGTAATGTAAGTAACCCGCCTTAGCCTCGTCACTACTTCGTCGAGGTTAGGCTCAGCACTTACCAGTACATGGGGTCAGTTGTACTGATACTACACTCTGCACTTCTTGTATAGATTTTGGAGTTGGTCCCAGTGACGTACCATAGACTTGCTCGGATTTCAGCTACTCAGAGGAGACTTGAGGTATAACTGCACGACGTTCGCAGTTTTGAAGTCCCCGTCTACTTTACTTTAGCTGTGTGTTTGTTTTCAGACAGCTTTATTTTATTCAGACCTTTATTTGTATTTATTTTAGAAGCTCGTGCACTTGTGATACTAATTCTAGGATGGTATTTAGACACCGTTGTTTTTATGGATTAATCACTATATTTTAGACCTTACTTCCGCGTTTATTTCTTTGTTATTAATAAATTTTAAGATTGTTTAAAAATTGGTTAATATCATTCTAACGTTGGCTTGCCTAGCAAGTGAAATGTTAGACGCCATCACGGTCCGAAGGTGAAAATTTCGGATCGTGACATGATGCTACTGATAGATTGTTCCATTATTAAAAGGCGGAAATCATTTTTCTGGTGTTTGGTTTTACCAGAAAATTTGTTTTCAAAAGAGAAAAAAATGACGAACAAAATTCATTTTTCAAACAACTATCTTAACTTTTAATTTCACGTTATAACTTGCTCTAACCAACACTAACGCAGTACTATCATTCTCCCGAGGAAAATTCTTTTGCCACAAAAGTGATTTGAATGTTTAGTGTTTCAGGATTCAGAATGTGTTCAATTTTTGTGTCAATTGTAAGGCATCCAAATAGTTCTGATTTCGTCACCCCAAGAAATATGTGATACAGCTGCATTTAATTAGTGATACTTATAATGAATGTCAGAAAAAATTTAATTTAGTAACATTTGTTAGAAAATGTGATAAGAATATCGACATATATTGAAACATGTCAAAAAATATTTTGGCATTTGATTTAAATGTCATATTATTAGGAATATAACAATATTTAATTAGTAACATTTATAACAAATGTCAAAAATATTTTTTTCCCCAAAAAAGAAAAAAATAACTTTAAACATTTTAATGGGCCTTTAAGCTTCTCTTCTTTTTACAGAAATACAAAAGAAAGTTAAAAACAACAGTCAACCCTATTTCTCCACAACTCTTCAAGCCGCAACCGTAAGAACTATGAAACTTCATTAGTTCATCTCCATATCTTTCACTCATTCTGATCACAATCCGCCGGTACGATTTTGCTTCAATATAAGTATTATAAATCTCAATCTTATGTATTTTGTTTCTTAACTGCTTTTGACTATTTGTTGATAACCCTAGATTTTCCATCTATAGTCTTGAGATTTCTTTTGATTGAACCTTTTGATTCGTTTCAGACCTAGAAGGGCCGCCTGCTAGAACTAAAATTCAGCAATTACCGCTGTCAGAATCTCGATTTGCAATCAGATTCATCTACTCTAACTCGTGTTATGTACATTTGGACTTTTCTTTTCGAGTGAAATGAGATTTGTGATATTTTGGTTACTGAAATTCTTGAACTTTTTTCTTTCTTGTTGTTTATTTTTGTTTTCTTTTTGAAGGTGAATTTCCTGCAAAAGAGTCTAGAAACGTTGATATTACTCCATATGAGTTTAAAATGTTATACTGCTACTTACCCTTTTCCCTTAATCAGTTTGGTGATTTTTTTTTTTTTTTTTTAAAATATCAGATCTTGGATACATCAGATTTTGAAGGTCGTGAGATCAAATAATGTGAAGGAATCCTGATTTGGTGAAAGTATGGAACACTTCATCAAGAGAGATATATGGATGCTGAAGCTTTAAATTATGTTGGTGTATTTGAAAATTATAAGAGAAAAGTTATGGTTATGTAGTCATATGTTAAAGTAATTCATTGTTTTGTTTGAATCGTATGTGGTGTGAAACTTTTGAAATGAATAAAAATGTTTGTAGTATTGTAAGATTAGCAATAGTTAATTCTTTGTTTTCTACTTTCTTACTACACATTCTACATAATACTTAAAAGAACAAAAAGGGAATATTTTTCTTCTTAATATCATAATATAAATAATGATTTTGACATTCAAATAATATGTCAAAAACAAACGATTTATCTGACATTTCTATGTATGTCGCAAACAAGATAGTTTAAGAGCTCAAATTGTTGGCATTTGATAAACGTCAAATAAATGTCACTAGATTTTTACCGATACTAATTTAAATGTCGTAAAATTAACGATATTGAAATTTTCAATATTTGATTTAAGTGTAAAATAAAAGTCGCTAAATAAATTTACGTCATTTAATTGACTTATGGCGACATTTATATAATGTCGCCATATACCATGTTTCTTATGGTGCGTCAAGGAAGGTTTTTTTTTTTAGGTAAGTAGCTATTAGCTGACTAATTCTAGCCAGTTCTAGATCATTTTTCTTCTACAATATATGTAGATGTGAATGCATTTTCTTATACCATTTCCAATCAGCTGAGATTTTTAAGTCTTGGATACTCGCAAAATTCCAGTGAGACTCGAAAACATTGATTTACTGTTGGTATATACACCAAAGTTTTTCCTCGAAACCAGATAATTCCTTCTCTTTAGTATATTTTTTTGTTTTATTTTAATGTTTAAGGATTTTCTTAGATTGTTTATTCCTAGTGTTAGTTGACACATTTTGCATATGACTCTATATTCTTTCTATAGATGTATGCTAGCTGCTAAGCATGATTTACGTATGTCTTTGACCTTTTTTCTCCAAGATTTTAGCCTCTTAGACAATAAGGGCCAGTCTGTGTGACCTTTTTTCTCCAAGACTTTCTAGACTAACCATATGCAATTAAGCATTTTAAATATTATTTTTTTTTGAGTTTAGATTATATGTACGGACAGTATAAAATTTTATTCGCCAGAAGTTTCTAATGCATATTACATGGAATGAGAAGTAACTAATGGGAAGAAGAGGGAATAAAACAGAATGGTTTTGAAATAACAAGTCAATCTAGATTTTGTTAAGTGCAAGTTGTGTTTTCCTTTGCTGGAACTTTCACTTTCAGCAAATATGTATCTCCAATATAATGCGCTCTACTACCCCCTTAGCATGTATTTTCTGGATCATCCTTTTTATTTTTTTGTCTAAGTGCATATCTATACTGTTCATATTTTGCATTCATGGAGATATAATAGCTAGTCAAAAAGTAAGGTATATCATATACTAACTTTTGGGTTAGTAGTGTCCAGGAATTGACTTTATGTGGTGTACGTCACTTTCCGGTATGAAAAAATATTAAAGTAAATATAAGTGTATAAAAGCTTAATCTTTTAGAAGATGATCACACAATTTCAATATGGTATTCAATTGCAGATAGAGATGCTGAGTTCGAGTCTTACCGTCATCTATTATCAAAAAAGAAGAATTTTTTTTCCACAAAACTGATCAATAAAAACCGACCGAAAAGTGAACGATTTGTAACGATCGAAAATCGTTAGGTTGGTAGAGCCAACCACCGATTTCGGTCCGTCAATCAAATTCCACCACTAGACTAGAGTCTATACTGTGGCCGGATACTATTCTACCACTATGCCATTGGTGCTTTTTGATTTAAGACTTTCTTTTATTTTATTTATAATCATTATACACATTTTTGCGGGAAAATAACCGACCGATTTCGGTCCATTTTGTTAAAATAAATAAAATTTCCGCCGAAATTGGTCGTTTTCTAAAAATGACAGACCGATTTTGATCGATTTTTTGAATATTAATTTTAGTTATTTTAAATGAAAAACTGGCCGAAGTTGGTCTGTTTCTTGAAAACTAAATTTTTCGGGATGTAAAAATAATTTTTCTGCAAAAAATGAAAAACGACCGATATCGGTTGGTTTCGTAAAAATAATTTGATTTTTTTTCCTTTAAAAAATCGATCAACTTTGGTCGGTTTTTTGATTCGATCGGCCGCAGACGATTTTTACTGAATTTCTAGTAGTGACATGCTTCGCTCATCGTAAAGAATTAAACACACTTGAGAATTAAACACACTTGAGGGACCTTTTATAGATATAATTAATTAAATAAAAGTGTGCTCAAGAAGATGGTTCAACCATAGAATTTCAGGAATTCACGACAGACTAACTACTCAAAAGTTGGATGTATTGGCTCAAATCTATACCGTGTATATTCGATTTCTCGTCAAGAATTGATGACTGTACCGGGAAGGCGAAAGGCGGGACTCAAAGTATAAACTTTGATATTCAAGCACAAGTTTCTCGTAAAAGAAATCAGATGGATGGTGCTAGTAAAATTTTCTGAAACATATATATCAATAAGCTAGATTCATTCTGCGAATTATTTTACGCCATAATAAACTCAAAAGGTCAAGAAATCTGTTGTCAATACGAATTTGCATCGCTTACAATGAACACTATCCTATAATCATAGAGCAAATGCAATTTGCTTAGCCCTAAATCGTTGGTTGAATTTCCAAACCAAAAAGGAAAAAGAAAAGAATGAAAAAGATCAATATATTTGTCATGAGTTTAAGTTCAGTGCACTCATAGTGTAACTTATTGGATAAATAGGGTAAATTTCTTGTTAAATATTAATAAGTGATCTGGTGAAATGGTAACCAAACACAGGTTAAAAATAAAAAATTACTGTTAGCGTAAGAAAAAATATTTACATTTGCATATTTTGGGTATTGATAGGACAAGCGTGGATTAGACTAAAATCACAAAATAAAGTAGGCTTTACTTGTTCTAGTTTCTGAAATATCTAGCTAGTTCGAAGCCATAAAAGCAAACAAGGGATTGAATATGAATCCATATATCCCAAGTTTGGATATTGGAGTGGTGCTATACAACCTACTGTATGTGACAACCATTTGCAGTATCAATCCATATGAACCATTTTTTAGCAAAGAATATTTCCACATCCCATTATCTTTTCTTTATTTATTGTAGGTCTTTGACGTCTCACTAGTGTGTGTATATGCATGTGCTATGGTCTTTTACATACATGTGTATCTTACCGCGTGTTTGCCACTTATATAAATAATAGTATAGAATATAGAATAAAATGTAATCGTCATATTTCATTTTTCTCTGCAAGAAAGCAAATATATGATACATAATCTTTATATGTTCCTATTTTAATGTACAATTGATGCGCGTAGTGGGAATCATGCATGCTAAGGTGTGAAAACATGAATTTGCAGGATAGCAGAATATTGCATGTAGTTTTATCCAAATTCGGTCCATAAATTTTCAAGAACAGTTACATATTCTTTTATATGTACCAACAAATTATATATAGTTTCCCTAGCTCATTTTGGGAACTTCTTGTTTTTTTTTTCTATTTTTTTTTCTAATGTGTTTGGGTTTAGTGTAGGTGGGTGGTTTAATTATTAAAAAAATTTAAGGCAGTATTCTGGCCAAGTGATATTTTATCCAGGATAATAATCAGAAAAACGTTTACGTTTTTATTAGGAGAAATCAATAAAATTTGCTTCTTTTCTCTATCAGATTTCGTTGATTAATTATATATTGTTCTTTTCTTTTGTTTTTCTTCTTCCTCCTCCTTTCTTTACACTTCAACTTGTATTTCTTCTTTTCATTTTTTATATGAATACACATACATGAATTGATCGTTTTATACTTCAATACCTTGTGTGGTGATTTGTGTGGTGTCCAATTTTTCTCGTACACGGATTATAGAAAGACCTGGTTCTTTTATGTGTTCCTTAAACTACAGTTGCAGAATAATAAATGCAAAAAATAAAGAACACAAGTATTTTACGTGAAAAACATCTCGCTCAAAAGGTGAAAAAATCACGACCTACTACCCAGTAGGATTTTTCCCAATACTTCACTAAATCACTGACCCAAAAATAACGTTTACAAAACTCTTGTAAACCTAAGGATTACCTCTAACCCTTTGTGGCAACCAACCTCAGACTATTGCGACAATTTCAAGTTAACTCTAACTTGAACAATACATTTAGAGTACCTAGTACAAATACTTCTAGAGAGAGCTGAAAGGTACAACTCAAAAGCCCTACTACAATTGAACTAGAATAAAGGACCGACACTTGTAACTGGTTCTTCTATCTGGTTCATGTTGCTTCAGGTTCGCACACTTGAATCACACAGAAATTCCTTGCAAAATGCCTTGCTATTTTACTCTCACCTCTCGTTTAACTTCAGTGTTTGTGCACCACTTGTAAAAGAGACGAACTGATATATATAGAGTTAGTAGAATAAGAAATAATTAGAGTTCTAATGCTATACTCTTCCTTGGTGGAAGAGTTCTAGTTATCTTCAACTTCTAACTCCTCCTTTATCTAAGATAGAGTTCTCTTCGAGTAAGGAGTCCTACTCCTTATCAATTATGCAACCTTTTCGTTCAGGAGATATCAGATATAACCACTTAAGCTTATCTCCTTCACGTGCATGCCTTGTGCTTGAATCTGTCTGTGTCTATGTACACTGTGTATGGATCTGGTTAGTGTGTGTTCATTTGTCAACCTTTGTCAATCATCAAAACAAATTTACTTAGGCCAACAAATTCCCCCTTTTTGATGATGAAGAACTCTGTGTTTTTCAGAAGCATAAAACCTGTTTCAACTCAGCTCAACATCAACACAATGTTAGAACACTTTCCAGTTTAAAGTCACAAATCATCAAGGACCAGGTTCATCAGGTTATAAATATCACAGTCTAAAGCAAAAAACACAACCTATCTTCCTCCTTTTTGACATCATCAAAAAGTTGCATAATTATGTTAGATAACCAGATTTTATTAGATCTTACTCATGGCCATTTAGGCAACTTCAAATGTAACCATGGAATCAAGTATCACTTATCAATCTAAGGTTATTAGCCATCTAAGAAACATCAACAAATAATTAGAGAAAAAATAGTTGGGTGAGCTTTTCTTTTTAGGCTTACAAATTAAATAAAAT